GTTTTTTTAATTCAGGAGATTATAAAAAAAATCCTTCATTTTATGAGAAGACCCTCTTGATTCAAGAGAAAACTCTTTAAAAATGGCTGCTTAATTAATTGTTAATCAATCTATAAGATAAATCAACTTCAGATTAATTCATTATCAATAACTTGCAACTTTAAGGAGTTAACTTAATTTATATCTACTCATAACTTAATTTATATCTACTCATATTCATGTAATTAAGCGTTTTAAGGATTTGGCCGATTAATCGATTAATCAAAAAAATAATCAACAGATTAATCGATTATTAAAATAATCGTTAGTTGCAGCCCTAGTAACTTTAGAAGCAGCTTGTGTTTTTAGTAGTGTTGGTTTGCTTGTTTGTCTCACAAGATTACATAAAAACTTCTGAACATATTGTCATTAAATTTTCAGGCATGTTGGGTTTCTCACAAAGTAAAATTCATTCAGTTTTGATGGTGATCTGACACCATCTGCCAGAGCTGCAGCTCGCYGTAATCTGGCACAAACAAAAGGGAAACATAACAGAGAACAGAGTCAGAGGCAGCTTTTTAGTGATGATGCAGGGCTGATAGTATTCCAGCATCGTGCCGGATTTCAGGCTTACCTCCTGGAGGAGGAGAAATTAAAAATCAGACCTGCCCAGCCAAATATTTAACAGACATTTCTCTGGACCTATCAGAGGAGCAGCTTTCACTTTAAACACACTAGACAGGCCTACTAGCCAATCAGAAATCAGATGGAGTCGGGACTTGGATATCGGCTAAACTTTGATTCAGATCTAGCAGAGGTTGGAGCGGTGCTCAAAATAAAAYGAATTTCTTTGTTAGAACGAGTCTGAAAAAGAACTGGAAACAATATTGAAGCAGGCAGATTTTTAAAAACCAGCAGAAAGATGTTTATTGATTCCTGCACCTGAGAGAGCCTCGCAGATGGATGCTAATGTTAGCTGAACAGTAGCAGACAGGTGGAGCCGGGGCAGAGAGGCAGGCATGGCTTTAATCACAGTGACCTGAGAAACAACATCYGACCAACAGGTGTGTGTTTACTGAGAGAACTGAGTCAGGTGTTGTGCAAAGAGTTGATTGTTCACCGCTGTGTGGGAGTGCACAGCATGTTTGTTATAACTGGCTGTTTGTTTCTTTAGTTGTTGGAATGTAACAATTTTAACTAAAGATGCATCAAATAATGGTTTGTTAGATTAAAAAAATGTTTCAATCAATTAACTGATATCGTCTGCCCTGCATCACATGGTCCATTTAAACCGCTCTAACAGGAGAGCTGCGCCTTCTCTGAGACTCTGTTTCAATTCGAGCTGAAAGTAGAGACTTCAAAAATCTATAAAACCAGTTTTTAAGTTGTGTTGTTAGGTGAAGTAGAACCAGAGTTATGGTAAATAGTGTACCCCACCCCTCCCTTTATCTTAATAAAAAAGACGTTCTTGTTTGACGCACTTTGTGTCGCGAGCAGGAAACACGTCCCGTGGAAATAAACGCCTCAGTCCACCGTCAGCTTCATCCTTCTCTCCAGCCAAAAAATAAAAACCCTCCGATCTTTATGTGACCAAAGCCCAAAGTTATTTTTCAAGCAGTCAAAAACTACAGAACTAAGGGGGAAAAGACGCGAGCAGCTCTGAGGTCTGACTCAGTAGGGAAGGAGGAAGGAGGAGACCTGCTTCAGAACCGTGCTTATTGGGCCTAATAATAATAATAAATTAATAAGTTTTACATCTAAAAATCATTTTATTTTTCATCAGTTTTTTTTCCATTCAACGGCCTATACTGTAGATTTATGTTTTGTTATATTTTATAGAAAATATGTCCAAGTTTAATATGTGAGAAATCAACAGTTATTTGTAAATTCAGTCACTATGTCAGTGTTTTTCAACCCTGGTCCTCAAGGTACACTGCCCTGCATGTTTTAGATGTGTCCCTGCTTCAACACAGCTGATTTCAACTGATAACTAATTAACAGGCTTTTGTTGAGCTGCAGTCATCTGAATCAGGTGTCTGAAACTAGGGAAACCTCTAAAACAGGGGTGCTCTACCTTTTTTGAACCAAGAGCTACTTTTGAAGTCGGCAGTTTGCTGAGATCTACTCGTCCAGTCTCAGTACCAAAAAAACATAATTTTTCGTCTCCCTACTCCTCACTTCTTTAAATTAAACAGAACGTAATGTGTTGCTAGTTTTATTTAATTTAAAGTATTGTCAAACAAAACTATCTACTTAAACTTATATTTACCTACAAAAAAAAGAAAAGATAAAATCCTTATTTAACTCCTGACAGAGAAACAGAAAAGTGATGCTCGGAACAAAAAGGATCAATTTTTTTTACCTCCTTCTATTAGTACTCCCTGTAACATGAGAGCTATGAGGGCTGAAAACCTGGACACTGAGAACACAGACTTAAATAACTTTGGAGCACGGGAACTCATCTCCGTTTATTCAAAGAACTCTCCTCGCTTCTCTCCATACAGGGGAGGAAAAACAAAACATAAAACTAAAGTCAAAGTACACAATATAAAACTCTCTTGTTTATACTATTACAAAAAGTGACTTACGATGGTGCAGATTCACAAATCTCCAACAACTATTTCAAACCTCCATCTCTGTGCAGCATGCAGGATGGTGTCATCTGTAGGTACTGGCCCTCACTGGTCCAGACTGCCAGCTCCAGACCATTCAAAGAGTTCCACCTGTTCACCACCTATGAGACAAGACACACACACACAGCCACGTTAGGTAGAGAAAACAACTGCAAAACAAATAAATAACACAAAGGTGCCAGTCAGTGTATAAGACACTAGTCTGGTCTAAAATGTAATAAAAACAACATACAAACCCATTGTGACAAGTCTAGAGGAGACAAATTTTTATGCAAGAAGCTATTTAAAAATAAATGGATCTCTACCTTAGTGGGACTTCTGACACTGCCCAGGGTCTCATAGGTGGGCAGTATGAGGTGTAAGCAGGTCTCCAGATGATCACCAATCTTTGTGGATCTGTTCTTGGACTTGATTTTCATGTGAGAGAAAGCTGACTCCAGAACTCTGCATCCATGCGACTTGTTGCTCTGGATTTGATCCAAATGTCATTTTGCAGAGTCAAAACCTCATTTTCAACACCAGAGCAGTTCAGCTGAAACACGAATTTGGACACATCCATYCATCCTGGTGCACAGCTGCACGTCTTATAGCAGCCACTTTTATTTTTAAAATCACGGAAAAGCACGTCTGCAGCATCAAACGCTTCTTTCATAAATTCGTCATCGCTGAAAGATGTTTTCCGCAGTGTTTTTTGTGTTGAGGCAGGTACGGGGCTGCATTAGCAGCCTTACCTTAGCTTAGGAGGGGGAATCCATCTCGTAGCATCTGTGCATTGTTTTGAAAAAAAAATGCAGTTCCACGTTATCCTTTTTGGACAAGCCAAGGCAGYGCTCGAATTACATATGAGTCCTCTTCCCACTCCAAGTGAAAATAAGTTTTTATTTGCTTGTTAGCTGTGTTTTGTTCATTTTTTTCCCGCCTCGCTGCTTTGTTGTGAACACGTGACCCTAAAGTCTSGCGAGACCGTGTTCGGTGTGCTGTTTCACCGCACCCAAAACTCGCGAGACTACATCTGTGAGCGGAGCTGACGAGCCGGCTCATCAGCTGTGCTGGGGAGGGCGYGTATTCAAGGCTGGAATGTAAACTCCTCCCACCTCCACCGCTTCTGCCGGAGAGCTCAGCGAGCGGACATGAGTCCCGGGCCGGAGCGTAACTGTTGCTCTCAGCTGACGAGCYGGCTCTCAGCTGTTAGAGGAAGATTGCGCTCCGTGAGCTACAGGGAACCAGCCGACGAGCTACCGGTCGATCGCGATCGACTGGTTGGGCACCCTTGCTCTAAAACATGCAGGGTTGAAAAACACTGCGCTATGTAACACAGCTGGGTAAATTAAATGTTAAATTACAATGATGGGCTCCTTTTTTAAATTCAGTAAATTATTAAAATATGTAGTCCTGTTGTGGAAAAACCCTCTTGATTCAAGAGAAAACTCAGGTTTTTAAGAAAATGGCCACTTATCAATTAATCGTTAGATGATCGATAAGATCAATCAACTATAATTCATTAATTGATAGCTTGTATCCCTTATGTAACACTAAAAGAGGTATATTTATTTAAACAAAAGGGTAGCAAAGGTGTGTCTCTTTTTAAGTTTTGATATTTTTCCTCCAAACCCCATCATAAATATCAGCTGTATAATACACAGCGGGTAAAATAAGTATTGAACACGTCAACATTTTTCTCAGTAAATATATTACTAAAGGTGCTAATGACGTGAAATTTTCACCAGATGTTGGTAACAACCCAAGTGATCCATACATACAAAGAAATCAAACCATAAATGTCCAGAAATGAAGGTATTTGTAATAATGTGGAATGGCACAGGGAAAAAGTGCCATTCCACAGTAGAGCTGAACATTTACAACACTGCGCATGTCTGCACTTTTGTTCTGAATAAAACTCCGGTGCATGTAAACACTTTTCATGATCGGATTGTGTCCATGTAAACAGTACATTCGGATTATTTAATGTGAATACATTTCAATCCGATTAAAACATTTTGTGCATGTAAACATAGCTGGTATAATTTTACTTATTAAAGCTCATAATCTTACCACTTGAAACATCACTAGCCCTGAAGCTGCTGGTAGACATCGCGGTTGGAATTATCAAAGGTTTTTGACACCTGAGAGACACCGTAGCAACTCCTTTGTGTTTGGAAGCGGGGGGTGGGGGTGGGGGGAGGACCAGGGAGGATGATTCAACCACTCAACCACTAGATGTCGCTGAAAACAACAAATCCTACACRCTGTGCCTTTAAGTAACAGTGGTCCAGTATCACATGGATGAAGGTTGTTAAAGAATTATTTGCCAGTAAATTGATTCCTCTGCTCACAGGTTTTTCTGTTTATGTTTTATCCAATGTTCTCAACTGTAGACTTGTTAAAACTAGTGTTATAATAACACCTAGTTTTTTTATTTTTTTATTTTTTTACTTCTGTTTACCTGGCAGATTCCTGATAAAGTTGTGTGCTGTTGCTGAGAACTGTCTGTTGACCGTCTGGCCCTACATGGCCCTGCACCCATCGGATCAACAAATAGTTGTAAAGACAGGTACCGCACCAGGAAAACCCATGACCCGATGTGGGATTTAAGGACTCTGTGCTGTGGTTTCTCATGTTCTAACCGTGTTCTGAAGGGGCCACAGCTGAGGAGGCGGTTCTTCAGTACTGTCTCACGTCACACGTGACTGAATCTGGCCTGACTGCTTCATCATCATCATCATCATCATTTGATTACAACAGCTCAACATACAGGAACTCAGGTCAGAATACTAGTTATACTGTACCTGTTTTTTTTTTTTTTTACTTTTAAAGACATTTTCTGGTATAAACACCTACCATGTCAGGACCAGTAGGTCTTTTGGTGACCAAAGACCGGACCTACTAAGGTCTAAAAAAAAATACTAAAAAATATTGATTTTTATCAATCGTTTTACAGGCTTGTTAGGGATGTTTTAACTAAGCCATATTGTTACACATCCTTTCACATGTATGACGTTCAAATTTCGTGCAGCTAGCGCTTTCCTTTCTCAAGTTATGACTAAAATTAATCTTGAAAAACATGTTGCTTCCTTCCTGACTCGATCAAGTTACTCCCCGCTGCCTCCAGCCTCCTCAAAACCCTCCGTCAATCCGACCAATCACGTCTCTTGGGCCATCTCCACCCACATCAAAACCTCCGCCAATCACGAGCAGGGCCGTCTCCGCCCACAGGACAAAACCTACTGCAGAGACCCCTTTACTCGATCTGTTGGCTTTGAGTAATCGCGGCCCCCAGAGCAATGTAGTTAGGACAGATGGTTAAAAACTTTGATAAATCTGACCACAGAACAGTCTAATATAAATGATGATGGTGGCTACCTTTAACCAGCCCTGGTGGAACTGTATTTGCATTCAGTGATTTGTGTCTCACTCATTTAGTGCTCTTTTACATGTACTAACATTTGTTATCCATATTTCCTGTTCAGAGTCCTTCTCATACAGTGACAGTGAGAGTGAAGAGTCCAGCAGGGACACGTCTCACAACAGAGACACTCCAGCCAGACTCAGCATCCCAGAATTCCCTGCTGCCAGCACCGAGGCAGGACAGTATTACCAGAGTGTGTTATTAGCTGTGGAGAGGTGGTTTAGCCTGTTTGGATGGCCAAGTGGTCCACACCCCATTTCTATACCACACACTCTCAGAAGGTGGGACAGATTCTTATTATTTTTCTTCAGATCCTGCTGTTTCATAAAACTTATTATTAATAAGGACTTTAATTATCTGTCTCCATGCAGAGTCGTGTCAAAAAGTCAAACAAAGTACAGCAAAAGTCGAACTTATGGTGTGATTTTTGACAAAGATACCAGGTAAGTCTTAATGTAGGGAACTATTGAGGGATGACACTTGTTCATCTGCTGTGTCTAACATGTTTTATGTGATGTAGGTCTGTAGTGGATATGCTGCATTATCTGACAGGCAGACAGATCCCTGGTGTTGGTCTCTGTCAGACCTTTTCCACTGATGTAGACCAGAGAACCAATCAGCTGCTTCAACAACACAAAGCCATGCTGGATTTTCTCAGGTGGGATTTATAACTTTGTAACATTAACAACAACAGAAACACTCTGCATAGCAAAACTCACCTGGCCCAGAACTGGCCCACATAATGCACTAATCACTCAGACACTTGGCTCAGATACAGCAAAGAATGACGGCTCTTTGGTGACCCAGATGTAGTTTGCCAGAGGTGGTCTTTGCATGGGCCAGCACCACATAAATCAAACTACAAATACTCACCAGAACAAATACAAATGTACTTATAATATTAAATAATGATTTTACTAAGGGTGAATATGTGATGTATCACTGAAGAGCTGTAGGTTGTGAATGAAGTTGCAGTGAGTCTCTAGCTCAGAAAAACAGCTCAATTATTTGTTGTTTTGTCTTCTTTCAGGGTTCAGGGAGCCAGTCTGTGTCACATCAGACCAGAGTACTTACTAGATGTCCTGGAGTTTCAACACTGGTGCTCTCTGCAGGTAAGGATTTACTTCAACACTTTGGATCTGTGGGATTAAATGAAAACATTGTTATAAATGTTGGTTTCTTTGTGTGCTCGTCTCTCTCTCAGTCAAACACAGAGAGTGAGCTCAACTTGAACAGTTCTGACTATGAGTCTCTGAGCAGACGGTCCTGGACTGACGTGCTTCTACAGATTTACAAGGTGAAACTCTGACCCCTGTTAGATTCATGAACATGTTAATCTGTCATCACAACGTTTAATCCCACTCCGTGTACACACAGGTTGTTGTGTTGTGTCGTGTGTCAACGGGAGCTTTAAGCGTCACAGATGGATTCTCATTCTGTGGGTCTCAGTCCCTGGTCAGTAACCTCTACTCACCTCATGAGCTGCGGTTACTGTCGTGGCTCAACATGCACTACCAGAGGATGAGGGAAGCTGTGTGGGGCACAGGTACGACAAGATAAGTCTGTTTTATCAAGTAGGAAATGCTTCTGTCTTTATTATTCTTTATGGTAAGTTAAAAAACATTGTGAACATGAATAATTAGGATCATAAAAATATTATGAAGGKCAAAGATAACAGTGGTGAGCATGGTCCTGCTAATCAGCTAAYATCTAACTAATTTTTCTTCTAGCAGATTAACGTCTTCAGTAACTTTGAAAACTGTTAGTGGACCAATTATCTTCCTCTAAATTTAATTCTGCTAACTTTAAGTCAAAAAAACGTTTATCCCCACATTTGCAGTGAACCATGCACCTTATGTACATGAAGCTGTGCTCACCACTGACGGTATTATAGATTTCTCAATAATTTAAAAACTTTTTATTATAAATATTGTATATTTCTGTTAGACATGTGTTCTAAGAAAGGTATACAAACAAACRTGATTCTCTGTACAATTACAGACATAAACAGTTGTGTTAAAATTACATCACTCCTAACTTGTAGCCTTTTAAAACCACCAGTTTCTTTTAATGCCTCAGAATGAACACCATTACACATGAATGAATATTGCTGATTGTTTTTCAGATGGAGTCCCAGCAACGCGCTGGATCGTAAACTTTGACCTGGACCTTGCAGACGGACTGGTGCTCGCTGCTCTGCTTGCTGCCTACTGCCCTTATCTGGTCTGGCTTTTGTTTCTGGGTCTCAGTTTTAAAAACAGGCTCTCCACAAAGGGTTGGGGAGGTCCTGCTGTGACGATGATAGGTGAAACCTGCAGGAGAAGCTGGGATTTATGAATTAGGATTTACTGATGGTGAGCACAGCTAACCAAACAGTTAGTGTTGCTAAACTAAAAATACATCTTCACTAACTGTAAACAGCTAAACGTGAGAAAACATTAGTGAAAGCTAAYGATAAACAAATAAAATATAGAGGAACACTAAATTAATAAAAGTTAGTAGAAGTTAATACTAACCAAGTACAAATGAGCAGAAGCCAACTCTAAACAAGTAAAAATTTGTGGAAATTAGTCAATATTAATGGAAGTTAACACTAAAGAAGTAAAAATTATCAGAAGCTAACACTAAACAGCAAACAAGTAAGAATTAGTGGAAGCCAACACTAAATAAGTCAACAATTAGTGGAAGCTAGCACTAAACAGCTAAACAAGTCAAATTTAATAGAAGCTAACACAAAACAGCTAAACAAGTAAAAATTAACAAAAGCTAACACTAAGCAAGTAAAATTAAGCAGAATTTAACACTAAACAGCTAAACAAGTCAAATTTAATAGAAGCTAACACAAAACAGCTAAACAAGTAAAAATTAACAAAAGCTAACACTAAGCAAGTAAAATTAAGCAGAATTTAACACTAAACAGCTAAACAAGTCAAATTTAATAGAAGCTAACACAAAACAGCTAAGTTAGTCAAAATTAGTGGAAACATCACTAAACAGCTAAACAAGTAAAAATTAACAAAAGCTAACACTAAGCAACTAAAATTAAGCAAAATTTAACACTAAACAGCTAAACAAGTCAAATTTAATAGAAGCTAACACAAAACAGCTGTTAGTCAAAATTAGTGGAAGCTATCACTGAGTAAAATATATATATATGAAAACTAACACCACACAAGTTAAAATTGGGTATTAGCTTTTAGCTGATTAGCAGAACCATGCCCACCACTGGGAGTGTCTTTGCACAATTTTGGATGTTTGGCAGTGTGACTGAAAGCATGTGCTCACCTTGTTATTTAGATTTGACAGTATTAACTTTATTACTGAAGACATTGTCCAAACATTACAGTTAGATCGACCCTATTGTTCTTCATACCAACTGTGTTTCTGATCACTGTAGATAAAAAGCCACTTCCGGAGACTTTACACCACCATTAGCAGCCTGGAGCAGATTCTTCACAACAATCTCATCGTGGCTCAGGCTCTGACCACGCTTGGTGTCAACATGGACATACAGGTAAATAGGGAGCACTGTGAACAGGGGCACTGGTGTCCCAGCAGTTTCCAGTTCTTGTCAGAACTGAGCCTGGGTATATGCAAACACCAGATCTGAGAGTGTTTTGTGTTCAGTCCACAGATCTGTCTGACTCCAACCCAGTGCAGATGTTGGTTTTGTGTGTTCACCTGTATGAGGTGCTGCCTCACTACCTGCCCTCACACACCGTGACTCTGTCAGGAGGCCTCCACAGTACGGTCAGCAAGCAGGTACACTCTTACAAAATAAATGTTTTGTAATGTTTCCTGTCTGTTCTTGTCAATGTGTTGATTCTGTTGGTTTGTCGTTTCTGCAGGTGCGTCTGAAAARCCCTTCGTCTCAGCCCGTCAAGTATCGGGCCTTTATTTTAGGAGAGGATGCTCAATTCTTTTCTCTGCCTAATGGATCTGTGGTCACCATCCCCCCAGAGTAAGTCTCAAACAATTAAACATGTTGTTTAGTAAATTAGCTGAGGAGCTAACACCAGATAACGTTGGTTACAGTATGTATTGTAATCCCAGATTCTATGAGTGGAAGCGCAGCCCTCTAAGGCTATTGCTGATGGGTATCCCTCCGCGCCCCGCGCGCATTCTAAAAAACCAATAGTCCATGCCCCCGTCCAGTGGGGCCCCACCTCGGTCCTATAAAAGCCGGTTGGACCAATGTACGTCTCCCGAAAGCTTACTTTTTCTTCAGCTTCGGAAGCCGGTGAGGCTCCGATTCTTAGAGGGCTGCGCTTACACTCATAGAATCTGGGGTTACAATACGTAACCAACATTCTATTTCGTGTAAGCTCCGCCCTCTAAGGCTATCGCTGATGTGTATAGAGGCGGAGCCCGATGTGATCTGCGCCTCACCAGCTAGACAGACTCGTGAAGCTTCCGCCCAAGAACCCCAGATGTTACACAAGCAGGGGCCGCGACAGCAGCCGACCCGCACAGTGAACAACTGCGTCAGCCCCAGTCCATCACATAATTCCAATGAAGTGAGGGAAAAAGGACCAAGTGCTGTGTGTGAAGTCATTTCACGCATAATCCGTCGCTTGTCCACCCTATCTGGCAACCCATCTTCTACTCCGACAAAGTCCTGAGAACAGAGTGAGTCAGAGAGGAGCCTGAAACATCCCGCAGGTAAAAATGGATGAAAAGACAAGTGGATGACCAGGACGCAGCAGAGCAAATGTCCTTGACTGACATTCCACTATATAAGGCAGTGGAGGAGGAGATTCCCCTCATGGAATGAGCTGACAGCACAGCTGGAAGCTGCAGGCCAGGTGAAGTGTAAACCTGAGAGAWAGCCTCACAGAACCAATGTGACAGTCTATCTGGGGACAGAGGTTGACCCACAGACTGCTCTCTGTAAAGAACAAACAGGCACTGAGAGCGTCTAATCTGAACCGTGTGCATCACATGACATGAGAGCGCACGCACCGGACACAGCAGATGTGAGGCTTCTTCCTCCTCAGAATTATGGGGAGGAGGGCAAGCCATCCAGAGAGATGACTCTGGATCTAAAAGAGCTCGTTAAACTTTTAGGTTTGAAAAACTGGGTTAGGACACAGGATCGCAGAGCTGCCGTCCTCCCGTATCCTGAGACAGGATGAAGAAACAGGCAAAGCTGACAGCTGGCTGATTGTCTTTGCTGCTGTTAAAACTAGCAACAGTGCTGTCTTCTGAGACAGAAAACTTAAGAGAGATCTGATCCAAAGGCTCAAAAGGAGCTTTAGTCAGGGTGTGAAACATCAGTGTTAAAAAAAACCCCACTGTGGAGCGAAGGTGCGTGTGACAGGTCTGTTCCTGCGCACACCCCTTAGGAATCGCTTAACCAGTGGATGGTTAAAAACCGTCCTGTCACCAAAACCCTTGTGACAGGAAGAAATCACTGCAGCATATGTTCTAACAGTGCTGAAAACCAAATCTCTGTCCATTAGCCTCTACAAGAAGGTCAAGATGCAGGACAAAGGGCATGAGACTGGGTCTGCATTTATCTCCATACACCATCCACACTGAATGGTGCGTACCACATCAGCGGATAAACCCAGGTTTATTAAAACAATCCCGTTCAGCAGCCAGACCCACAGTGGCTGATCCAGCCTGGGAAAAATACTCCTGATCGCTCCCCCCTGCTTGCAGAAGAGTGTCCTCCTGCCAGGCAGCTGAAGCGGAAGGTCTGACAGCAACGACTAGAGGACCAGGAACCAAAGTGCTTCAGAACGACCAGAACAACCCACCTCCAGTCCTGTCTGATCCAATCCAGCAGACGTARGATCAGAGGAACAGGTGGAARGCATAAGCAGYATGTCCGGGCACGGACGGTGYGCCAACGAGTCCCCTCCAGAGGAGKGTCGTCTCGTGAGCTCAGAGAGAAACAGAGATGCATGTGCATTTCTCTGCTGGCAACAGGTCCACTTCCCTTACCGAATCTGTCCCAGATTCGCATAATTATGGTCATGTTGCAGGATCCAGTCCCYGTCCCCGTCCCCGGGGACCCCCCTTGGACATGATATCCGCTCCCCTATACAGCACACCTGGAACGTAACTCGCTCGGATTGTGCGCAAGTGGGAAGTGGTTGTGTGCTCAGAGGAGAAGCTCTCTGCAGCAACAGCCGGGATGTCAGTGGTCTCAGTGCGTAACCGAAAGGAAGTCGGTTGTACTGGTACCGGGTCTCCTGCCTTCTTGGGGACAAGAAAAAACTGGAAGTAAAGAACCCCCTGAATTCGTCCCCACTGGGAACTTTAGACATGAACTTCGTCATTCAGGAGT